GTAAGTCCAATTAATTTAGATTTTTTGTTTACCAGTTTAATCATTTGCCAAGTGAAAATTGTATGAATATTTTAAAAAGTAATAGCACAGATCTCTCCTTCAAACCACTCAATTGTATCATATTTGTACATAGCACTGTTTTGAAAAACCTCTAACCTTAAGTATGAGCAATAGCAAGCAGGATAGTAATAATTCACAAACGCGTCCACCTTCAAATTACTTTCTCAGAATGTGCTAGCAGCAAGATGTTTCACATTTGGAATCATTCTTTTTCTCTGCTGCTTCAGTCATTTCATGTGTGGTCCCTATAGGGGTACTGTTTATACAACATTTTCCCCAAGCACTGTAGAACGTCTTACTGACTTTAGTTGCCGCTGGACTAAGAGATTTTCCATTTGTATCACAGGACTTTTGATGGCTGGAGGGAGGAGTTTGTGTCTACTGATATCTGACTTCTTGGAAAGGGTTTACATGGAGGATCAAAGTCCTCAGCCTCCTTACCATTTTATCTGCTAGCACAGCTAACCACAAGCAGTGCATGCAGAGCAAACACATGTTAGATGCTAGCTGTGGCCCGTAGGCTTCAACACTGTGGGTGCGTCTCAGTCAGCTCCCTTGTTCAGTAGTCAGGGCACTGATCAGGGAGTCGGCCATTTTAAGGGCTGTCTCAATCGCGAAATCCTTCCAGTGCACTGGAACGTTCGCTCCCTGAAAAATCCCACAATGCACCGTAAAAACTAGGGAACATCGGCGCTCACTATGCTCCCTTACTGGAAATAACGTCACATTTCTGAAGCGTGAAACATAAACCACACGAGCCAACTCGATAAATATAATTACGCGCAATAGAAGATTTGAAAAGACAAACGGTATTTTAGTATACAGTACTGCTTGAAAGTTTGTGAACCCTTTACAATTTTCTATATTTCTGCATAAATATGACACAATTCATCATCAGATTTTCGCACAAGTCCTGAAAGTAGACAAAGAAAACAATGAGACAAAAATATTTTCTTTGTCATTTATTTATTGAGAAAAATGACCCAGTGTTACATTTCTGTGCGGTGCAAAAGTATGTGAATCTTTGCTTTCAGTATTTGGTGTGACCCAATTTTGCAGCAGTAACTGCAGGTAAAGTTTCTTGTAACTGCTGATCAGTCCTGCACAACATATTGTATTAGTTTTAGCTCATTCCTCAGTACAGAACCACTTCAACTCTGTGATGTTATGGGTTTCTTCCTATGAATTGCTTGCTTCAGCTCCTTCCACAACATTTCAATTGAATTAAGGTCCAGACTCTGACTCGGCCATTCTTCTTTAACCATTCTTTGGTAGAACGACTTGTGTGCTTGGTCGTTGTCTTGCTGCATGACCCACTTTCTCTTGAGATTCTGTTCTCGGACAGATGTTTTCCTTCAGAATTTGCTGGTATAATTCAGAATTCATTGTTCCATCAATGATGGCAAGCCGTCCTGGACCAGATGCAGCAAAACGGGCCCAAACCACGATACTACCACTACCATGTTTCACAGATAGGATAAGGTTCTTATGCTGGAATGCAGTGTGTTCTTTTCTCCAAACAGAACACTTCTCATATAAACCAAAAATTCTATGTTGGTCTCATCTGTCCACAAAACATTTCCTCTGGCTTGTCCACATGATCTTTAGCAAGCTGCAGATGGACAGTGATTTTCTTTTTGGAGATCAGTGGCTTTCTCCTTGCAACTCTGCCATGGACACCATGGTTGCTCAGTGTTCTCCTGATGATGTGCTCTAAACATTAACATTAGCCAATGTGAGAAAGGCCTTTAGTTGCTTAGAAGTTACCCTGGGTTCCTTTGCAACCTCGCAGACTATTACAAGTCTTGCATTGGAGTGATCTGTGTTGGTCGACCGCTTCTGGGGAGGATAACAGTGGTCTTGAATCTCCTCCATTTCTACACAATCTGTCTGACTGTGGATTTGTGGAGTCCAAACTCTTTAGAGATGGTTTTGTAACCTTTTTCCAGCCTGATGAGCAACAACAACTCTTTTTCTGAGATCCTCCGAGATCTCCTTTGTTCGTGCCATGATTCACTTCCCGTAAACATGATCAGACTTTCATAGATCCCTGTTCTCTAAATAAAACAGGGCAGGCAATGACACCTGATAGTTATTCCACTGTTTGAAAACACCTCTGAACAGATGGACTCTAATTTCACCCTCAAATTAACAGCTAATCCTAGAGATTCACATACTTTTGCACCACACAGAAATCTAACACTGGGTCATTTTTCTTAATAAATAAATGACAAAAAAATATTTTTGTCTCATTTGTTTGATTGGGTTCTCTTTGTCTACTTTCAGGACTTGTGCGAAAATCTGATGATGAATTGGGTCATATTTATGCAGAAATATAGAAAATTGTAAAGGGTTCACAAACTTTCAAGCAGCACTGTATTTCAACATAAACACACATCGCTAGACAGGAATTGAACACATCTAATTAACATTTATAATTAATATTTGGCTGAAATGTTTTAAGAACATGTAACAGAACGATGTGTTTAAAGAGAATAAAAAATCATATAAAAATTGGATTGGTCCTGCCTGTTGTTTATTATTTCCAGTGATGACGTTATGTTGTCCGTTGACGTTGTACGTAATCATGTCACTGGAATTCGAGTGATCACTGTCCCAACGTGCAGTGAGTCAGGGAACTTACCAGTGACCAAATTTGTGTACACGATCTACTGATTCACGAGCTTGGGAGCTAGGGAGCTGATTGAGACGCACCCTGTTTCTTCTCTTAATGGCAGGGTTTACGTGTGCAGCTGACTGGGTGACATGGTTGAATTTTTTTGGAAAGAGTTCTTTACTGAGGATTTGACTTCCATATTTTTTGAAGTTTTAAAAAACACTGTCAAAAACTCTTAGACTTAGAGGTTTTGAAGTCAACATTAGATCAAAATTTACTATATTTATTTAAATATACTCTACTGTTCAAAAGTCTGGGGTCTGTAAGAATTTTTTTTCTTTAAAATTTTCACTAGGGCTGCATTGATTTAATCAAAAATACAGTAAAAACAATAATATTGTGAAATATTATTACATACATGTAATTACAGAATTATTGTTATTGAATTTTCAGCAGCCGGTTCTCTAGACTCTAGACAAATAATTCTAATCTGCTGATTTGGTGCTCAAAGAAACATTTCTTATTATTACTGTTGAAAACAGCTGCAAAACCATTATATATTTTTTTTCATTTATTTGAAACAGAAATCTTTTGTAACAATGTAAAAGTCTTTAAATCTCACTGACCCCAAACCATTAAATAGTTGTGCACATTGCCATTCTTATTGCCCAATATTCATCAGTGCACATTATTCCAAAGACAAATTGTCTTTTGAATATTTCATCAAATTGCTTCACTTATGAAAATACTTTACTGTTGACATCAACTTTGTTGCACAGACTATTAGATAATATTAAGTCCTGACCTGCATTTTGTCTTTTGAATATTCTGTTTTGTTACCTTACAGCAGTGGAGTAATGTATTTGAGTAAATGTAATTAGTTACTGTACTTGAGTATCTTTTTGGCTGCTTTGTAGTTTTACTGAGTATCAAAGGTATTAGCAACTTTTACTTTTCGCTACATTTTTGAATAGGTATAAGTACTTTTTACACCAATATATTTGTAATGAGTGTTGCAGTTACTCATTACATTTTGCATGGCACCTAACTTTTTCTGCAGCAGATTATTTCTGCTACAAAAGAAGCAATATTGCCATCTACATGGCAATAAAGGTACTATATATTGTGCGTTTGCCCTTACTCACCTAAACTTGTCAACAAGGCTTCTTTATGTGAATGCGAGTGCATTAGCAGGTAGTTGTGAATCGCTAGTGTTTTATATACGAGATGAGGACATTACTGCAGCCAGCAATGAAGCTGAAACCAGCACGTCTAGCGCAAGAAGGCTTTGACTTTTTTATTTTACTTACGCAAAAATAAACATGATTGCTCTCCTCACAAACCAAATGTTTCTTGTTTTTCACTGGCATTTTTCTAATGCATCTTTGAGTCTACATTCAGTATGAGTAAAATACTTAAAGCTGCGGTCCGTAACTTTTTTTGGTATATAATTTTCTTTTTGGGTTAAAATAATTTTCTTAATATGAAATTAGAGTGGTATGACAATTAGCGATTAGACTGTGCAGAAATTGAAATCTACTCGCTTATACACACTATACTCATAGTCACGCAATGCTGATGTTAACATTAACAATTTGAGAATAAAGTATAACAATAATAATAATTTGCACGGTTTGATGTGATATGAGTTAATTTAGATTAAATCAGCATTGGTAGCGCGATTTATTGTAATGCTTTTTTCCTCAGTTGGTCAGAACAAACGTGGCAG